TATATATATATATATATATATATATATATATATATGTCGTATTTTCCGGACCATAAGGCGCACCGTATTATAAGGCGCATTAAGCTAAACAAAACAATTAAGCGGAACAATCAAGCATGTCCGGATCCCTCTTGTCATTATCCAAGTCAATCTCGTTGCTGTTAATTAGTTGTTCAGTGATGATTCCGACCTTCGTGAAACATTTGAGACTGATACCTTAGCCTAGGCATCCACACTCCATTGACAGATAGTGGCGTAATTCGCCCGGCGTTGCCTCCCTGTCTTGGTGAATGTGTGTTCGCCTTCTGTCATCTAATGCTCCCACGCAGCTCGCAATTTAGTCGCAGTTTTGACCATATCGGTGAGATGGTCGCGCATGGAGTCGCAGATCAATAAGGACAGAGATTTGTGGAAAAGGGTAGTGACCTAAGTTGGACGCTGGAGACCGCCGTTGTTGTTGTTCGCCCCTCCAGAGTCAGGCGGTTGTCACTATTTTTGTTCTGGGTAATCACTGTGATGTTGTATTGACGCTGTTCCGTCCGGAAGTGTGGATGTTTTGCAGAGAGTGTGTGTTTTGCCTGTATCGATAAAAAAGGAGAAATAAAAAGAGTTTTTGACCATGAGAAAATCGACAGCCATGCGTCTGAGCCGTCCTGCTTCGCACCATACATCGACAATACAAAAACACAACAGAGTCTCCGGGTGTTTGGAGACACGACGCGACGTTGCACGGATTTGGGTTACACAACCATACTGTAACAATTGTTGTTAAGCATCTTCTAATTGTGTTAACAGAGTTAAACGTCAGTGTTGGCTCCCGGTGTGCTTCAGTTGTGATGCCCTGTGTAGTTTGGGTTTATAAAATCGGTTCGAGGTCATTCGAGGTTATAAGGCGCAGTGTCGATTTTCGAGAAAATTAAAGGTTTTTAAGTGCGTCTTATAATGCGCAAAATACGGTATATATATACGTTCATCACTGGTTTGTGCTATAGCTAAATGAGAAGGCCAGTCCTTACTGGGCTGTGGATTTAAAGGTGGTTAGTTAGTTAGCTAGTTAGTTAGTCTGTTAATGAGGAGGTAGTGCACAAATTCAAAATAAAATACAGTAATGGCCAATGGGCCTCAAGCCATTGTTTTCAGAAATGCTATTCTTACTCTTTAAAATAAACTAAATATCGGGAAAGTGTCCTTGAGGCGACAAACCCAAACTGTAAATTAACTTTTCCTCTGAAGCCACTGAAACGCACGGCACTGCTCCGTGGAGCGGTGAAGTGAGTGACCTGTGAAGGTTCATTGTGAGCCCAGCTCTGCCCTGGGGGCCGTGTCACTTTAAGAAGGAGGTGGGCTGCGCTCTGATGACGCAGGAATGATCCTGAGAAGATGCTTCAAAACTCCAGGCCCGAGCCAACATGAGCGTGTGTGAGTGAGACTGAGGGTACGCGTGTATGTCTGCGGTGCAGTGTCTGCTGCTGTTGGCTCAGTCTGAAGAACCAGTCTGCTACTGAGGGTGAGAGCGGCCAGAGACGCAGCAAGTACCGAGCTAAGGAGAGAAGCTCCATGCGCACTGACACGCTGATTTACCATCCAGCCATCCTGGTAACGGCGTGCGCGGCTTTGCCCAGTGAACGCAACTCTGTAGTGAGAAGCAACACCTCTCTCCACGCTGCTTCTTAATAATACGAACTTGTTGTGAAGGCGCAGGCATGGCACACTTGGGCGCACTGTGCTTGTACTTTCTGAAGCTCCTTATCCCGGCGGTGAGAAGCGGGGGCGGCGGCACCGCTGAAGACATAGACGTGTTGGTGTTTTTGCCCCAAGACAACTCCTATCTGTTTTCACGCGCCAGAGTCGCTCCGGCGATCCATTACGCACAGCGGACACTCTCTGCGAACGCCGGAATTTACTCCGGCTTCCACTTCAACATCCACTTTGAGAACACCGACTGTGCCAACGGGGCGGTGTTGAAGCTGGCGGACAGGTCGTGCGGCCACAAGCCAGACCTGATCCTGGGGCCGGTGTGCGAGTACGAGGCGGCGCCGGTGGTCCGGCTGGCGTCTCACTGGAACATCCCGGTCATCTCGGCAGGTGCTCTGGCCGCCGGCTTCAGCGCCAAAAAGGGAGAGTATTCTCACCTGACGCGCATCGCTCCGTCCTACGAGAAGATGGCAGAGGCCTTCGTGGCGATGTTCGAGCAATTCGCCTGGGGGAGCGCGCTGCTCCTCTACGAGGACGACAAAGCGGAGCGCAACTGCTACTTTACCATGGAGGGGGTCTTCAACCTGATGGCCCACTTTTATATCAGGACCTACTCCTTTTCCGTGGAGGAGCGCCTGGACACTGAGAGCATATTGGAGAGTATGAACGACATTGAAGGTAACTGTTACCAACTTCAGTTAAAACCCAACTTAATTGAAAAAATAATGACACAAGTCAAAAAAAGCTCGAAATGCTTCTTATTTCCTGTAAGTTGATTCATTGAAAATTAACCTATTTGTCTGTTTTTCTGTACCAGTGTACGCTTGATAAATGATATGTACACTGGAGACGATATTGAGATATTTTTCATTTCTTTTACAAAATGTAGTCATAAAAACAGTCAGTAATCCTCGGAAAAAAAAATCTTAAACTGTTAAAATCTGTAAAAAAATTAAATATTTGTTTGTAGACATGTAGACACAACATATTGTGTTTACATTTCAGACAACATTTAAACTGTATAGTAAGCATAGTAATTTTTTTTTCTATGAACACAACACGGATAAAATTAAAAACAACGTGTGACTGACTGAAGTGTCTCTGATTGGTGTTCAACCAAAGCAGCAATCTGGTAGAGTAGAGTGAAGATGGCGATGAGTCCAGTGCTGTGAGTCAATCAGTTAGTCCTACAACCACAATTTAAAAACTCCAGTCTAATCCCATCTAATCTAATCTGATCTAGAAAAAAAAAAACGAATAAAAGAAGTTCCAAAGCTGCTTTTTGAGGGCATGCGAGTCACTAGAACTGTATCTTGAGCAAGTGTAATACGTTTGTTTATTTGAAGTACTACAAAACAGCTCACCTCCCTTATTATTAAATATAAGATGAAAGCAATTGACCAAATTAAGTATTTTTAATTGCAATCTGCAATTAAAAAAAGTCCAGTGGAACATTCACAGGACCTACAGTAACTGATGACAATATATTACTCTAGTACTCTACAACCACTCACAGGTTTCACTCACCTGCCAAAAGCTTCTTTTGCCATTGTGCTCTGGATACAGAGAGAAAAGAAAAGTAATTCCTATGTTCCTAGATGTCCTTCGATGTCCTTAGATGTAGTGGATGAGATAAACAGTAAATCCTGCAGAAAAGCCTTTACTCTACAGGTTATTTCCTCAGTTTGGCAAAGGGTATCTGGATTAGATCCGAGTAGTCTGTTTCTAATTACAGTAAGTAAAATGCATATATAAAATGTTAAGTGACTTCCAGATGAATTTTCATTTCATGCATTTAAGCCAGTGGATATCTGCTACTCATTTATTACTGTAAACTTTGTTCTCCTTTCATGCTGCATTATTGTATGTCTTTGGGAGAGAGTGGAGGAAAGAGTCAAAATGAAGGAGACAAGTCACAGATGAAAAATGTGATGTATCTAAAGTTGTTGGAGTGTTTATAACGTTCAGCAGACATAATAGTGATTTATCACATTTTTTCACTGTATCTTATCTTTAATGACTGGATTTTGAAATGTGTCATTCTGAGTGAAAGATCTCAAACAGATTTTTTTTTAATTACACAAAACAATTTTTCAGATTTTTTTTTCACATAATTCCCATCACTTGATCCAGCACCTACCTAGAACTTTTAATTTTTCTTCTTTAGGCTTCAATAGGGCATTTTTCACCATCTACTACATAATAAGAGAGACAAAAAGAGAGAAAATACAAGCAGCATAAAGCATCTCTGCAAAATAGAACACCTTATACACTTTTAATGTCCTCTGAATAACCACTTGTTGCAATATGCAATAATATTTTCAGTGTCTAAAGCACTATGTATGGTCTCATGTCTGAATTAGTAATTGAAATGGTTTAATTGCAATCCTGAGTTGCTGTCCTGACTGGTCTCCTGTTCAGTCTCTGTTACCACGCAAAATCAAGTCAAGCATGTACTGAGTAAACAGTGAAGCCACATGATCCTTCCCTCGTGTAGCAGGAACTGACGCTGAGAAGAAAACTGTTGATGAGCTTTCGCACCCTTCAGCACCGAGACGCAATTACATAACACACTGTGGACTCCACAGATGAGCCACATGGTGTTGGCTGCTTGAAATTCTTCAGGAGACAGAGAAAGAAAATAAACTCAACAGACACTGTTCCCCCCACTGATTTATTCAATTTATTTATTCTTTTAGTATTGTTGAATATTACAGTTAAGAGTTAACTAAGCATCTACAAACTCCCCTAAAAACATATTATAAAATAAAATTATATAAATTATTTTATATAAAGTAGTATCATTTTTTTAAATTATGTTGAAACTGTAAAACTTAACAGCCCGTCTGTTGAGCTAAGACATAAACCCATGACCTTATCAGTGTGAATCGATAGAACAAACCGTTGATCCACTATCTTATCTGCAAGAAAGCTATTAATATAAGGTATACCGTACAGTTTCACCTTTTTGCACCTGTGGTCCTCAAAGGCCACGTTATCGACTAAAGACATCAGAGATGTTATCCACAAGAGGCTCAGTTACAATGCAGCTTTCGACCATACGGTGGCGGTAATGCATCAGTCAGTTTAACAAGCTCCAATATACAGAGAATAAGACTTTTTCTTTACGTTAGCTGTAGCTAAAAGTATGGAGAAGTTTTTAAAATAAAAAAAATGAAGCCAAACAATGTGTGGTGTTAGGTATAATTCCGACTTCACCAAATACAGCTTTGTAAATGGAAGTACTATTAAGTAAGCAATTGGATAAGGTGGAATTGGTTTATTATTTAATACAAATCGAACTGTGAGTCAGGTCAATTAAACCTATATAGTGGTTCCATTAATATTGAATGGAACCACGGAGCACTTTGTACTACTAAAAATTGTGCCTTAAGGCCAAAAGGGTTCAGAACCCATGGTTCAAACCAAAGCACCTCAAGGTTTCACATGTGAAAGCACCTGATGGTGTGGAATTAGTATTCACTGCATGTCAGGTGCTTCAGTGAGATGTTTGAAGGGCCGGAGCAGACGTCATGCAGCTCCTCAGCACAACAGAGTGAGAGTTAGAGGCGAGGGCAGGCGTCAGCTCTTCTACTGCAGCATCGTTATATCAGCGCTTGAGTTGCATGAGTAAATATGTTAATGAAACCACGCGAACAACATTTTCTTTAAAAGTCTCAAGTGAAAGATTTCATATTTGACAGTGACGCATTTCTCAGCCTTTGCCAACATTAATCATACAGGCAACTTTTAGCACTTTGGCCCTCAGATTAGATGTAACTGTAAAGCACACTGTCAGCAATCATAACTGTCACTGTTGCAGTCACAGGCCACCATGTACAGACAGACAGATCCAAATCCAAATACCTTGTTTTACAGTATTAATGAAGTACAACTATCATTTTGTGTAATGTTGGCAGGACTGCAAATAATGATTATCTTTATCACCATTTACCTCTTGTTTGTTTACCATGCAGTAGTTATTTGGACGGTAACATTTCCAAAAAATAAATTTAAAAAATGTCATTGTCAACACTGAATAATAATGGTGTCCTTAAATTATTAACAAAATATTCATATTTCTGCCATAGAGTATATTACAAAAAGGTAATGTAAAGAGCCTCTCCTTGAATCGCAACCTTAACGTGGTGGAGGGGTTTGAGTATCCGAATGAACCTAGGAGCTATGTTGTCGGGGGCTTAACGCCCCTGGTAGGGTCTCCCAAGGCAAACAGGTCCTAGGCGACGGATCAGACAAATAGCGGTTCAACCCCCCCTTTGTGATGAAGAAAAATACAGCAAAGAGGTTCACGTCGCCCGGATTGGCGTCACCGGGGCCCCACTCTGGAGCCAGGCCCGGGGTTGGGGCTCGCAGGCGAGCGCCTGGTGGCCGGGTCCTTGCTCACGGGACTCGGCCGGGCTCAGCCCGAACAAGCGACGTGAGTCCGCTTTCCAGTGGGCCCACCACCCGCAGGAAGGCCCACAAGGGGCCGGTGCCTTGTGATTTGGGTGGCGGTTGTGGGCGGAGACCACGACGGCCCAATCCCTGGACAACCACTCTAGCTATGGGGACATGGAATGTCACCTCGCTGGGGGGAAAGGAGCCTGAGCTCGTGCAGGAGGTTGAGAGATACCGACTAGATATAGTCGGGCTCACCTCCACACACAGCTTGGACTCTGGGACCCAACTCCTTGAGAGAGGCTGGACCCTTTTCTACTCTGGAGTTGCCCGCGGTGAGAGACGGCGTGCTGGCGTAGGCTTACTTATAGCCCCCCAGCTTGCCAGTCGTGTGTTGGAGTTCTCCCCACTGAGTGAGAGGGTCGCTTCCCTGCGCCTTCGGGTCAGGGACAGGTGCCTCACTGTAGTTTCGGCCTACGGGCCGAACAGCAGTGCAGAATACCCGGCCTTCTTGCTGACACTGAGAGGAGTACTGGACAGTGCTCCTCCCGGGGATTCCATCGTCCTGTTGGGGGACTTCAACGCCCACGTGGGCAACGACAGTGACACCTGGAGGGGCGTGATTGGGAAGAACGGCCTCCCCGATCTAAATCCGAGTGGTGTTTTGTTATTGGACTTCTGTGCTAGTCACAGTTTGTCCATAACAAACACCATGTTCAAGCATAAAGGTGTCCACCAGTGCACTTGGCACCAGGACACCCTAGGCCGGAGGTCAATGATCGACTTTGTAGTCGTGTCATCTGACATCCGGCCGTATGTATTGGACACTCGGGTGAAGAGAGGGGCTGAGCTCTCAACTGATCACCACCTGGTGGTGAGTTGGCTCCGCTTACGAGGGGCAAAGCTGGATAGACCTGGCAGACCCAAACGTATCGTGAGGGTCTGTTGGGAACGTCTGGCAGAATCCCCGGTGAGGGGGGCCTTCAACTCCCACCTCCGGGAGAGTTTTGAACAGGTCCCGAGGGAGGCTGGAGACATTGAGTCTGAGTGGACTATGTTCTCCACTTCCATTGTTGATGCGGCTGTCCGAAGCTGCGGACGTAAGGTCTCCGGTGCCTGTCGTGGCGGCAATCCCCGAACCCGGTGGTGGACACCGGAAGTAAGGGAAGTAGTCAACCTCAAGAAGGAGTCCTATCGAGCCTGGTTGGTTCGTAGGACTCCTGAAGCAGCCGAAAAGTACAGGCAGGCCAAGCGGACTGCAGCTCGGGCAGTCGCGGAAG